CTGAAAAGTCTTAAAAGCCAGCCTGCCTTTCTCTGTGCTCTGTCGTTCTGTTCAGACCTCTGATTCACAGACTTTAAAGATTTGAATTCCCTGTATGGATCTGCTGGGTGTTAACTAATGCCATGTACGGTGCATAATTTGTCTGGTGTAAAGTGATGTATTCACTAATGCATGACTCCTGTTCAGAACTGTGTCTCTGATGTGATTTCATTCTCTAACTATACAGCTGTGCAATCTTCACTTAAGGAGAAGGATGACTTGCTGAACCCAGACGTGCTTGCAAAAAAACGGATGGAGGCGAAACAGCTTCACAAAGAGATCGAGGACTTACGGACTGCAATATCTGACAGATATGCACAGGATATGGGGGACAACTGCATCACGCAGTGATGGATAAGCTCTCCCCAGGATAGCATAGGAACAACTGGAAATTAATACTTGAAAATCTGAGGAGATTAGAGCCCAGGTAGTGGAAAAAACTATCAAGCACCTTACCATCTCCATGCTTTAGGTACAAGATGCTGGTGCTTATCCACAAGAGGAAATCAGGGATTCTGATGCCAAGGTCATTTAGTTGCTGATTGGCTAACTGGAACGATTTAGGATCTTTGCTGTTCATCAGACTTCGCAGCAACTTTGAGCCGTTGGATTCGGTGCAGTCTCCGATTCGATCTGGTGGGTGAGTTACTAGTTCTCTTCCAAGTATGTCAAATACTGAACATGGAAACACAAGGATTCAAACTGACCTGAAAAGGAAGCGGATGCCATGGCTTCTGGTAAATAAACAATCCAAGCAGATTCCTTCTGAATATTCTGGCCTTACTGATTGCACAAAAGTGTTCAGAGGAAGTCTGTGGAGTTCATAGACAAGCTGCTACGCCAGTAGCACTGTTCAATTGTCCCTAGAAGTACAGTGTTACAGGCTTATCTGCAACAACCATGTATATGGTTCTGGCCCGGATCAATAGTGTGTGGCCATTCGGGTAACCAGGTCTGCATTGCTCAGGTATAGGCCACTGATGTCTTTCAGTAGCCAACAGGCTGGAAAAAAGGTGATGCTAAAACTGGGTTCTGAAAATGCTAGTCTTGATGAGGCCTTAGGATTTTATCCCTTTAACGATGCTCTGAATGTGGAGAGCAGCAAGTGGACTGCTACTGAAGTGCCTTAATCTTCTAGAGAAATTTCCCGCCTACTTAACTTCATCCCTAATGCATCTTCTGCGAGGTGTGGGGGAACTGGTCTTTCTCCTAGCTGCCTTTATAGCCATAAACCAATCCTGCAGCAGCCTTGGTCATACACACTCTGCCCGGAAGGACAGCTCCCTGCAAGCAGCAGAGAGCCTTTGCAAGCCTGCAAAGGCTCTCTGCTGCCTCCCTGTAGCTGATCAGTGGGAGAAATGACAATCATTGCATGGGGTATCCTCACTGTGCTGCTGTCTGGGATGTGAACAGGGTTTCCCCAGAAGTCCTGCAGGGTGGTGACTACAGTGCAGTCACAGGGATCCATCGCGGCTCACATAGACACACCCGCTAGATTAAAGCTAGCTCAAGACCAGACCGGTGAAATTGCAGCAGGGTACGTTAGAGCGCAAGTAATTACCCAGGATTCCGTGTGCGCATGTATAGCCTGCACTGCCGCACCTTTGCTGCTCCAGTTCCTGAACTAACTAGATTAAAGCTTGCTTGGTTTTGTGTACGTGAGCTGAAACCGCACCCTGCGAGCGGAGTGATGTCAAAATAAGCACATGAAAATTCTTTTCCATTCTTATATTTTGTCAGCGCTCAGCCTTAGGGGTGACTCTGAAATACTAAATGTCTGCTTAGTTGGAAAAGCACCCAGGGGCTAATGATGAAACCGGCTGGCTGGGTCAGAAGCTAAGAAGTCAATTCAGTCAGATGAAAACCCTGCTGACACATGTTAACATTTGGCTGTTGTAGGTTTGCATCCTTCTTTTGGGGCTGATCCCCAGTTCTGTGAAGATGCTGTTCCTGGTGCTCTTTTGTCAGACTTCATTGACCAATGAAATCTGGCCAGCACAGTGTTTGTTCTGGAAACCACCTGGCTAATATGCTACCCATGACTAAGATCAAAAAGTATCTGATGGGTGGCTTGTTAGCTGGCGCATTCCCTGCTGTGTAGGTACGCTATCCTTCCTGGAGCATCTGGTAGTGTAACATGGATCATTGCTTATAATCATGACATCTCTCCACAGGTGTTGCCTCCAGCCAGCTCCCTTGCTGAGTTACTTAGATAGTGGGCCAAGATAATTCCTTGAAGTCAGTTGCCCAGACTATTGAGAAATATGGGCACGACAGGGCCAGCAGCACCAAACATGAATGTTGCTGGGTAACTGGAAACCTTGGTGACCATGTTGTTTAACAGAGATGCTGTTAGCCTGCCAGGGAACCTGCATTTAGCACCTGACTTTTTTAAAGCAGCCTCACCCACGTTTCCATTTATACCCACAAAACACATGCAGGGAGAAAGAGAGGAGATAGCTACATGTCCCCAGCGGCACCCACAGAATGACTGGTGCAAAACCAGAATCTAGGTCTTAAATACATAAGGGTTTCATTTCTTAAGCTGATACAGAGCAGGGCACTGCATTTCTGTCCTTGGGGAAAGAGGTGATAGGCTCCTATGTGTCATGGCACTCGGGTAGCATATTACTGTGCCTGCGAGAGAGAGAGAGCGCTTCATTTTAATCCTTTTGCAAAGGTTTGTATTTAAAAAAAAGTTCTTTGCATACCTTGTTAATAAAATAACTTCGGTTATAGCAGGTATCCACCAGCTTTGGTGGCTAGAGCACCCAAGACCCAGGTATCTAAAATAACCATGTACTGTGGTTAGTCTCATTGCTTACGCAGGACGTGTTTAAATAATTAACTTGGGCCTGGTGTTTCCTTGTACAGTTAAGCACAGGTATATTTATATGAATATTTGTCTTACGCGGTTGTTTGTACTGAGTATTTGGATTATAAAATAAAGCTGCTTTGTTCCTGTTGTGCAAAGCAATTCAGGGTATGGCTCTGCTTCTCAAGGATGTGGCAGAGGGAGGTGGGATTGGATGGTATTTCATAACACTGCATTGTTCCTACTAACACTTGTGCTTTGTCAAACTGAAACCACTTCCTTCACGGCTATAAACAGACTTCGGAATCAAGTCCCATATTCTGCTTCATCGGTGTATCACTAGAGTTGCTCTACTGAAATCAATGGGAGTTTCACTGCCATGCAGTGATGAATCAAGCCCTAGGATTCTTCACTGCATAGAGTTACAAATTCAAGCTACTGTTTACAATAAAACCTTCGATGTAGGGCTATGAAGGAAACTCGGGGCAATGGAAAGCAGAACTGTCTCACCAGTAACCTAAAATAACACATCCATATAGGTTGCAGAAGACTTTTTTTAGAAGTTCCTCCTCTGTTTGTATCGGGAAGTACAAGCTGACCATGCAGCATTTAAGATCCAAATAGCAGCTCAAAGTGGGCACAGAACTGTGCCTTCCTTTTAATCACGTGCCTCCAGGAGGGCAGAGTTTGATTGCAACTGCTAGTATTTTTGGTTCAAGTACTGCAGTGCTTACTACCTCCTTGTTAGTCTCTAAGGTGCCACAAGTACTCCTGTTCCTTTTGTGGATACAGACTGACGGGGCTGCTACTCTGAAACCTACCTCCTTTCTGTGGCATTCTGAGCTAGATAATGACGTGAGTGCTCAGATGTGTGTGCCAGTCGCTTTGCTGTAAGGGGATAGTTGTCAGGATGCCCACTGCCTTCATGTGGGGCGAGGCATGAGGCCAGAAGGCTGTACAACTTGAGTGATTACAACAGAAAGCGGAGGCTGGCTGCCTCTGCCTCCCACTGGCTAGGCTAAGCAGTGTTGCTCTCAAGGATACTTTTCCTTGACAAGCATTGGGAATGGCGGCTAGCAGAGGAGGTTATAGGGATTTGGGGAGGGTGGGCGCTAACTGAGCGAGTGATCTGTGCACGAGGCACAAGTTGGTGCCTTATGCCAGGTTCCCTGTGGCTCCCAGTTCCCTATTGGAAGGTTAAAATTACTTCAGAGTGAGATGAAATTTCAAAAAATGTAACAAATGTTTCAATGGGATTACAAATTTAATTTTGTAACGACTTCATCAAGGAGCTGGGGTTTGACTGGCTTTAGGTGACCAAATAAATCTCAGATCACCCAGTTCCCCATCCGTGCAATGGCCAGACTCTGCTGAAAGAGCTAGGACATGCCACTTCCTGATCCGAAGCTTCCTTTTTGCGCACCCTAGTGTCACACTTCTGACCACTTCCCCAGTGGGCTTACTTCTCCGATAAGGAGCTGGGTTGTGACTGGCTGTACGTGACAATGTCTCAGTTTGCCCCCAAATGACACATCCCTGTGGCAGTTGTTTTGAGATGAAGAGAAGCCGCTCCCAGAGGTGTGAGCCTTTATTTTTTTCCCCTTGGTAGTAAACATACAATATGCATATAAAAATTGTCACAAAGCAATATCCAGCCAAGTTGTTGCAAATCCAGCTGCAGTGTTTCCACAGAAATTATGGGATAGCTGCTG